TGATTTCATAGTGGTGTGCAGGGAGTGAAAGGAGATTTCTCCCGCGGGTTCAGCTACTTCAACTTGAAGTTCTGAGCTACTGAAAAGGCTTCTGAGAAAGCTGGTATTGCTGATCAAATCGTACGCGTCTGATGTAACAATAGGTGAAAGCTACAAAAAAGTGGGATGCTGTCTTCAGCTATAGTGCTCTAGTTGAGCGATAAACCGACAGCAGTCCGCACCAGAAGATCCCTCCACTGTTTTGAGCCGACAGCCATTCTTGCCGACCGTTCCGAATGGCGTTTTAAATAGAGGAGAGCGACCATCAGCGGTGTGGCTGCCCGTGAGCCGTTCGGTTACCCGGTAGGTACGCAGGTGCTAGCGCAAGAGAAACCCGTCGACATCGACTGCTGCCCATGGACAGGAAAAACAGCGTCATTTAATACGTCATCAGCCTCCAGCAGCGTGCTTGACTGGCGGAAAACTGTTGGTAATAGATTGGCTGGCACAATTACGATGTCCGTGGGGTGATTCGAGTCCTTAGCCCGCCAGATGACCGAGTGGCCAGGTGGACGCCCGGGGCTCGACACCAAACCGGCTACGTAGCAGGCCTTGATGAGGTAGTGCATTGCAGCGCCGCTGTTGTGCATGCTTTTAACGGCCATTGCGACGATTATGTTTTTCACCATCCTGTATGGTTTGTTTTGGTTTGGATTAAAGCCACTGCGGCCAGGCATGAGCCGGATGGCTTGACATGGCTTTTGGACAAGGAAGAGTCGAAAATGGTGGGGCAAAACTACATGCACCTGCTGGTCCATTTGCCAAGGCTAAGCCCCACGGGGCTCTTTGCGGGGTATGTTCTTGGCGCTCTGGCGGGACCCCCAACATGGAGGGGGGGGGGGGGCACTCGTGGCTGCGCACTCAATCTACACACACTAGCCAACTCATGGCTGGCGCATGTAGCTTGAGTAAGTAATCATGTGTCCGAGACGCCCCGGGCAAACGAGACGTCGCGGGGATGCAAAGTGAAGCGAGCATTAGTGGTAAGGGCGGATAACAACCGTATGTGATTGCTTTCGTGTTTTCCCACTTTCCAACTACCGTTTTGCACGCTTTCAAACCGCAGAAAACCTGCCACCCTCGTGCCTTGCGGCGTCTGTGCCGACTGGCCGCCTCCCCAGCAGTCCCCAGCCGCTCGCACGATGCGTGGGCAGGCGTCTCCCCGATGTACCATTAGTTCCATCCGCGCTTCCGTGCCCTCCCACGCCGCTCGGGCGAGGCGTGACACTGCAGAAGGCCGCCTCATCACACGCGCTTTCGGTGGCTGCCTGTCGCGTCCCGGCTTTCACTTTCAGCGATGTTACGCAGCTTATCCGGGAGATGGCAGAAGTGTGCGTTCCGGGAGCAGTTGGTTACGACGCTGAGTGACACCCGGTAATGTGTGCTTCGTTAATGGTGATGGAAGACCGCTCGCTGACGTGTTCCCGTTAACGGTAGAGTTATTTTAATTCAGCGAAAATATGGTTATGAAAACCGCATGAAAGCTGTCTATATGCTTGGCCCTAAACGCAAATTGTTGGACGAAGCTCAGAATGTGCTGTTAGATAACGCCCTATATGCTGTATTGCCTCGTGTGCAAGCGATGAAATAAAATCCATTATTTTGGGTGAATTGCTGAGTGCGTTTGCGAGGAACATTAGGCATATAAATGAGACAGGATTGATAGCCTTAGTCCTCGTAGAATAAAGAGGAGAGTGGAGAGATAGATGTGATATTTCGGCTACAGACCTCTGTCGAAACGAATATCAATAGTCTACTGATACTGTAATGGTACTGATATGCTGTCTACTGATATTCGTTTTGATAAGGGTATGTAGCCGAAATATCAAATCGATCTCTACATTCTCCTGTTTATTCTACGAGGAATAAGGCTATCAATACTGTCCCACCTACGGTACTTCAGGTTGAATAGATGATGGCTATTGCCCTTTATCAAGTCAACATTCGAAACAGAATATACGCCATGACAGGGAGTGAAATAGCAAACTTATCTAGCACACCTGAATTCTCGTGACACAACTGTTGCTCATTGGTGACAATATCGCTGTGTATAGACACACTGTTCAATCGGCTCTCGGCCTCTACAACCAACTGATCGTTCATTACATGCATGCATACGTTAATACAGGCATCAACACTATAACTAACGACAACTCCATCACCTCAAATCTACCTTTCCGCACACATATCTGTAATTCTTAAACAAGCAGCACGGCCCAAAGCAGGACGTTGATTAAAGCAAACCACCTCAACGCAATAAAGCCCGGCCGCACAACTGTCAACAGTCGACGCGACACTGTCCGCACATATCCGCTGTCACCTCATCATAAGGTATATCAGGCCGGTGTCATGTTAGCTTAACCTAGGTATCAACCGGCATTGTCTTCGATGGACCGATCATGTCACTGGATTGCACTTTGGACGGTAGGGAAGGCCTAGCCAACTTTCTGGAGCACCTGAATTCGGCCCCCAAAACGATTCCGCTACAACGTATAGATCTGATGCAAGGGGCTACATCAGACTGAGTCATTCGCATTTCTACGCATGCAATCCCTCTAGCGTGGTGGTACGGGCTCGCAGGTGCGTGGGATGTTTGGATGCCTAGTTTTGGATGCTTAGGTTTGGTTCAATGTATCTGATCATAATGGACTCAGCAGTTTCTCGGTCGGCATCGCCCATGCATCCGTGTGACGTGCATGCTCTCAGTGTAATATACGCCGTCGGTTATTCAAGATGTACGTGAATCACACGATCTCTGATGTGCGTGTTGAGTGTTCTGTTGGCTGTGTCTCTGACGTGTTCATCTCGCTCTGACGGGCCGCATTTTCTCTCCCACGGTCACGTGCCTTGTGACGCATAACTAAGGATACGTCAGCTCGTATCCCACGTGTTTTGGTGTTGCGTGCATTACGAAGTCCAGCGTGACAGGCGTGACGGAGCCCTCGTCGGGTACGCCGTTGTTCTAAGACTAGTCTTCAATAGTAGGCTTATCTAGCTGGTCTGAATGGTCCAGGACACTCTCAATGTTAGCTGCAGCGAGCGCATGACTACCGCTATTTTCCGGAACAGGTCGCTGTCATTGGATGTTAGCTTCCCGTTCGCTGTGCCCTGCTCGTCCGATTCGTTCTCGGGTGGTGAGACGCCCGCGGAGAACATAGGTCTGGAGCTCCCATAAAACAAAAGCGGTCATTGGGGCAGAGGAGCAGCTAAAATTAATTTATAGCTAGGCGAGGCATTTCCGAAAGAGGAGATGCCAGAGAGCTGATGGGCATGTAAACTATACTGAAATGGATTTCTCACTATACGGACAAGGCTTGGTGTTCCTCAGAGGCAAACATTTCCTCCACACTCAACATCAAAGCTGCGCGAACATGGGCGGCAACTTAGAGGGAGGAGGAGGGCCAGCTACCCATCCCCCCCTCCACAACTCGGACAATATTTAACATGAACTCTATGGCGGTGCACGGAAAGAAACGAGATAAAGATCTCATCCCTCCCTCGTCTCTACGTCTCTTCTGCTCGTTGTGACGTGGTCGCCCCACTCGTTTGATTTTTTAGGCTCGGAACCAGTGATCCTGTCCTGGTCAGGGCTAACGAAGAAGGCCTTCACGCTGGACTGTAATTGAAAGCTTAACTACATTATGAGTTCAGAGTTCTTATCCTGACACTTATCAACCTTCAATGCACCGAGAGGCACTAACTAAATGACGTTATCAAGCAAGTGTTGGTTCTTTTTGTTGTATTTTGACAATGTAACCAATACTTGCATGATACCGTCGTTTAATCAGAACCTACTGGTTCACTTACTGGGAGTATTTTACATTTTTGTGGAGTTTTAGACAGAAATAGCCATTTTGAAGACCTTTTGGTGCAGCTTACAACCCTGCCCTTCCCATGACCTAAACCCCTCTAGTTTCTGAGCCACACGCCAGCGAAAGTGGGGAGAGTATTCCGGTGGTAGTATTTTAAGGTCACCTTTGTACTTATAACGTCATAATAGCGTTATTAAAAGCATGTGCCTTTCCATAAATAATGCGGCAATCAAGGCCGATAAAAATATGATTGTCGAGGCGTCCATAGCTGGCGTTTGTGAGCACGATTTCCAGATGAAACGGCCATCAATTGGCTCTTAATAAATATTGTATAATTACGATTTTGTGCTTTTTTGAACATATCTGGTCTTTGCTTCAGCATCTCCAAAAGTGAGACATTCCCTTTAACGTTGATAACTGTTAGCATAAGAACTCTGAACTCATAATTTCGAGAGAGAGAGAGAGAGAAAAAAAAACAGGAACCGAAACCTTTCTCGCTAAATGTCAACTTCCATTCCGTTGCATGCTGTTATTGGTTCCAGATCTGCATTTCTAATTCTGCTTAAGCACCTGTAGACGTTTTTGTGCATTCTTTATTACATCAAACCACAGCAGAATCAAACTTTGATCGACCATCTCATAAAGCACAACTGCAGTTATCGGGCATGGTATTTCGCTATGCGTCTTAGGGCAGGTACGACATTTTGTCAAAAGGTACACAAGTGCGATGTGCTGGGCGAACTGGAGACAACCTCTATAAACCGACCATCGTGTGCGTATATCGCGACTGTTTTCAGGGTTGACGACCCTTAAGCATAATAACAAAGAATGAAGGCTGGGCCCAGCCCGTCCCTTTTACAACGGACTGAAATCACGTGCTATGACAATTACCCGACACTGAGCTCAGGGTCGGTTTTGTCCGACCTCTTCAACACGGCGACGGTAGGTCACCGCCGCTTCGTACCCTCGGTGCGGAGCAACGGGGGGACGGGTGGAAGGGAGGACGGGACGAACGGGACGAACGGGCGAAGAGAGTGAGACGAACAGCGCGCCCGGCCGTCGGGTCGTCCAAACCGTGCCTCCCGTCTGCGTCACTTGCCAATGAGATGTGACGTCATCAATCGAGTATTGGGTGTGAAAAATTACGTTATGAATGATCTGCCCTTTGTGAGTGGTGCTGATGGCGACAGTCTGAAAGCAACGTGGCAACTGCTGCTGCTGTTGACCGAGTGTGGAGCCGCTGCTGCCGGCGGACTCCTCGGTGTGTTGCTGTCTACTGCTCTTGGCTAAGTGTTGACTGCCGGTGCCTGTTATTGACATGCCCAGCTTATCTGCCGCTTTTGACTGAATTCTGACTTCCACCGTCCGCTTGTGGCGGGCTGTGCTGGCGGTGCTCCTGCTGACTGAGTGCCGACTGACACCATGTGCTGTCGGCGGGCCCTGCTGTGTCTGCTGTTGGCTGTGCTACTGCTGACTTAGTGCTGACTGACACCATCTGCTGTCGGCAGGCCCTGTTGTGTCTGCTGCTGGCGGTGCTGTTGTTGGCCGACGCCGTGCTCTCGGAGCCGATGCGCGGCGGTAAGCGGGGGCGCGGGAAGAAGCGGCCGCACAAACAGCGCCGTCCGCACAGACACCGCAAGCGGCCCCACGTCCACCAGCTGGTCTACACGGCCACCACCGAGCAGTACCAGCCGCAGCCGGAGGTCAGCTACGGCCCGCCCAAGACCAGCTACGGCCCGCCCAAGACCAGCTATAAGGAGCCTGAGACCAGCTATAAACAACCTGAGACTAGCTATAAAGAACCTGAGAGCAGTTATAAAGAACCCGAGACTAGCTATAAGGAACCTGAGACCAGCTATAAGGAACCTGATGTCAGTTACAAAGAGCCGGAGTCAGGATATAAAGCGCCTGAAACCAGCTACAAGGAGCCTGAGATCAGCTACAAAGAGCCTGAGACCAGCTACAAGAAGCCTGAGACAAGCTACAAGGAACCCGAAACCAGCTACAAGGGGCCTGAGAAAAGCTATAAGGAGCCTGAGACTAGCTATAAGGAACCTGAGACCAGCTACAAAGAGCCTGAGACCAGCTACAAAGAGCCCGAAAACAGTTATGGGCCACCGACAGATGATACCAAAAAATCAACAAACCTTGCATCATTCACCCCGCCTGATTTTGACGATTTTTCCTTTCCCTCGTTCCCTGACTTCGAGGCATTTAAAGTGGACTTAGATGACAAGAAACAACAGTCTCCAGTTACAGCGGTCACCAGCTATCAGTCTCCCGGAAAGGCACCAAGCGCGGCAGGCCCGAGTTCCCAGGTACCAGTTAGCGATTACAAGCTGCCTTCGACGATTTCACCATTGTACCAAGCATCCCAGAACAACCACCAAGCTCCAACCACTAGAGCACCTAGCTATCAGGTGCCCACCACGTCGAACCCCAGCTACCAGGCTCCACAGAATACTTACGAGGCGCCGACTACTAAAACACCCAGTTACCAGGCACCCCAAAGCAACTACCAAGCTCCACAGAATAGCTACCAGGCACCCAGCACCCAGGCACCTAGCTACCAGGCACCGCAGAACAATTACCAAGCTCCTCAGAACAGCTACCAGGCGCCCACCACCAAAAAACCTAGTTACCAGGCGCCAACAAACGACTACCAAGCTCCACAGAACAGTTATCAGGCGCCAACCACTAAAAGGCCCAGTTACCAGGCGCCGCAAAACAACTATCAAGCTCCACAGAATAGTTACCAGGCACCCAGCACCCAGGCACCCAGCTACCAGGCACCGCAGAACACTTATCAAGCTCCCCAGAACAACCAGGCGCCCACCACTAAAACGCCCAGTTACCAGGCCCCAACAAACAACTATCAAGCTCCACAGAATAGTTACCAGGCACCCAGCACCCAGGCACCCAGCTACCAGGCACCGCAGAATAATTATCAAGCTCCACAGAACAGCTATCAGGCGCCCACCACCAAAAAACCTAGTTACCAGGCGCCCCCAAACAACTACCAAGCCCCACAGAACAGTTACCAGGCGCCCACCACTAAAACACCAAGCTACCAGGCGCCGCAGAATAATTATCAAGCTCCCCAGAACAGCCAGGCACCCACCACCAAGAAACCTAGTTACCAGGCGCCAACAAACAGCTACCAAGCTCCACAGAACAGCTACCAGGTACCAACCACTAAAACACCCAGTTACCAGGCGCCGCAAAACAACTATCAAGCTCCGCAAAATAGTTACCAGGCACCTAACACCCAGGCACCGAACACCCAGGCACCCAGCTACCAGGCACCACAGAATAATTATCAAGCTCCTCAGAATACCTACAAGGCGCCCACTACCAATAAACCTCGTTACCAGGCGCCAACAAACAGCTACCAAGCTCCACAGAACAGCTACCAGGCACCGACCACTAAAACACCCACTTACCAGGCGCCGCAAAACAACTATCAAGCTCCACAGAATAGCTACCAGGCACCCAGCACCCAGGCACCCAGCTACCAGGCACCGCAGAATAATTATCAAGCTCCTCAGAACAGCTATCAGGCGCCCACCACCAAAAAGCCTAGTTACCAGGCGCCCCAAAACAACTACCAAGCTACACAGAACAGCTACGAGGCGCCTACCACTAAAACTCCTAGCTACCAAGCGCCGCAGAATAATTATCAAGCTCCTCAGAACAGCTATCAGGCACCCACCACCAAAAAACCTAGTTACCAGGGGCCAACAAACGACTACCAAGCTCCACAGAACACCTACCAGGCGCCAACCACTAAGACACCCAGCTACCAGGCCCCCCAAAACAACTATCAAGCTCCACAGAATAGCTACCAAGCACCCAGCACCCAGGCACCCAGCTACCAGGCACCACAGAACAATTATCAAGCTCCTCAGAACAGCTACCAAGCGCCCACCACCAAAAAACCTAGTTATCAGGCGCCCCAAAACAACTATCAAGCTCCACAGAACAGCTACCAGGCACCAACCACTAAAACGCCCAGTTACCAGGCGCCCCAAAACAACTACCAAGCTCCACAGAATAGCTACCAGGCACCCAGCACCCAGGCACCAAGCTATCAGGCACCGCAGAACAATTATCAAGCTCCTCAGAACAGTTATCAGGCGCCCACCACCAAAACACCTAGTTATCAGGCGCCCCAAAACAACTATCAAGCTCCACAGAACAGCTACCAGGCACCAACCACTAAAGCGCCCAGTTACCAGGCACCGACCTCTAAAACTCCCAGTTACCAGGCGCCCCAAAACAACTACCAAGCTCCACAGAATAATTACCAGGCACCCAGCACCCAGGCACCAAGCTATCAGGCACCGCAGAACAATTACCAAGCTCCTCAGAACAGCTATCAGGCGCCCACCACCAAAACACCTAGTTATCAGGCGCCCCAAAACAACTACCAAGCTCCTCAAAACAGTTACCAGGCACCTCAGAACAGCTATCAGGCCCCCGATACTAAGGCCCCCAGCTACCAGGCCCCGCAAAATACTTACCAAGCTCCAACCACAAAGGCACCCAGCTACCAGGCCCCACAAAATACTTACCAGGCTCCAACTACAAAGGCACCCAGCTACGGGCCTCCACAAGGCAGTTATCAGGCCCCCACGACAAAGGCACCCAGCTACCAGGCTCCACAAAATACTTACCAGGCTCCAACTACAAAGGCACCCAGCTACCAGGCCCCACAAAATACTTACCAGGCTCCAACTACAAAGGCACCCAGCTACCAGGCCCCACAAAATACTTACCAGGCTCCAACTACAAAGGCACCCAGCTACGGGCCTCCACAGGTCAGTTATCAGACCCCCACGACAAAGGCACCCAGCTACCAGGCTCCACAAAATACTTACCAGGCTCCAACTACAAAGGCACCCAGCTACGGGCCTCCGCAGGACAGTTACTCTGCCCCCGAACAGTCACACAGCGAGTACGGCCCTCCAAAAGTATCCAATATCAGAAGCCAAAGTGGAGAACGGGTGCCTTCGATTCTGGCAGCGGATGTTATTCCGGCCAGCAGCGTGCTCACTGACGACGCCTGGTGAGCGCGGGTGGAACTCAGCTGGCGATGGCGAGGCCGGGATCGGGCGTTTTATGCTCGGTCCCGGCAGCTACAGCAGAGGAACAGCTACTTCCAACACGCGGTCGCATGACAGTGCAATTGTTGTTAACTGTGGTATTGTTGCCGTTTTTGTTACATTGCTGTATGGCGTCGTGCCTTGTTTCGGGATCAGCTTCGTGACGAGACGCATGGCGATCAGTGCACGAAGGACTTCCGAGCGATGCCTGGGATTGACGGCCTATTTGTGTGGTCGACTAGTGTCTATATCCGATTTCACATGTCATCAGTACAATACATACGTAGCCATGATATGTGGGAGAACAATTAAAGAACAACTGAAGCAGGTTCACGGAATTATGTTGTCGGCGTACAGGTACCGGCGAATTCAGGGTTGAGGCGAAGGGAGGGGAAAGGGTGGAGGCCACGCCACCCACAAACACGTAGCATTCGCCGTCAACGTAGAGAAATCGTCAAAGTCGTCACTTTGTGATGGTTATAGTTATAATATTGTTATCTCAATAAGGCAATTTAATCAAAATTCGAGAAGGAACAATGTATTCTTACTCACCCAGCAAAACATCAAATAACAAGGTTAAAAATGTCGCAAGTGTGTTATTACGTTGGGAAACAAATCGACACGAACGAAACTGAATGATACAGGGGAAAAGGATTGTGGTTATGTAGTTTTGAAGGACTATTTATGTCTCCATTTTGAAACATTTCAGTCCCATCAGTAACATGGATCATAAGTATTCTTACCCTGAAGGCCAGACCATTCTGCACAATGTTCCCACGTACTCACATATTTTCATGAGCGACCGATGTCTCAGCACCGCGCCAGTCTTGCCGCCATTCCTTCACAGTAAAACACAAATCGCACAGAGAGTAGCGCCCTCATGGCTGAGAATTTCTTGGAACTTGGTGCATTGAGCCCTCTAAACGTATTGGTTGTTTTGTTTTAAAGTTAAGGTCCAGTCGGGTCACTGGGTCACGCTGTGGAGTTCAAGATCTTTCCAGGATAAGTGAGCGATGCTCATCACAAGGCTGTGGGCAAAAATGCTTCTAAATATAGGAATCAGTAAACCTGATATTACCAGAGTTAGAAAGAACTAGGAAACCAGAACACGCACTTGTGATCTTTTAGGGTAAATACCTGACCTCGTGACCTTTTTTAATAGAGAATTCAACAACTTTGCTTACCTTGCTTTGCAAAAGTTGGGAAATTGCATTGCAAAGCCTTTAATGTTATCTGGTATCCGAAATAATCAAGATTTTCTCTAATGCATACCTAATGAGTGTTTTGTAACACATCTTTTATTTGAATTTGGAGCTATTTAACCCAGCACGGAACAGAAATCATGGTTCATGGATACAGTGTCAATTAAAAACTGTTTGCACCCTGCCCAAGGACACATAGCTGGATAGTCTGTGACAGACGTTGAACTTAACTCAGATTGCTTCCCTTACCACGACTCAGTGTTCCAAGGAACGCGACAAAATTGTGCGGCAACATCTGAAAACCCGTGTATCAGCTACAGCTCTCCAACTTCTTCAATATGCTGTCTTGCGTTTTCTTTAATGTCCATTCATTGTACACTGTGAGCATTGGCTCAAACCTGGGGATAACTTCAAAGTTGGGTGCGTTTATTCGGCAATACGCTTTGCCCCACCCTCACGGAGCGATTAGATCCACCAGTGCATTGACTGTTTACTTAAGGTTAGCAGCGCATGCAATGGAACTACCGTGCGTCTGGTTCAGAGACGGGGACACAGGGCGTGCGCGCATCGAAGAAATGGTCGTGCAACAGCAGCTCTTCTTTCGTGTTTTGGTTGTGTGGTCAGCGTTTACAGCCCAATATAGACGAAAGCACCCTCAATCAAACCACCGAAACGCTTTCTGACGCCGAAACAGCCGCTTACGACACCGAAGTAATGGTTGTTGGAGACTCGGACGACACGTGAGTGAGCCAGGGGAAAGGTGACGAGGGCACGTGGTGTTCCATCCACCCCATCGTTGGCATCACGCTACTTGGCACTGAGTGCATTTATTTCATTCCTTGAATGATCCATTAAAGGGTATGTTTCACATTTGGATATATTGAAGCAAGCATCATATATGTTGAAACAAGCTCACTTATAACTACTGGTATATTTTTAAGTGGAAAAGACTGTTCTAGACAGTACAATGTCTCTGTTTAGTGAATGTGCCCTCGATACGTCATTATACAATACGCCATCGAAACTTACATGATATTGGTTGAAAGTCAATTAACGGTCGTTCTATCTGGAAATCGTGCTCACGAACGCCAGATATGAACGACTTGGCCATGACATTTTTCGGGGCATTGATCGCCCCATGGGTTAGGGAATGGCAGGATTTGAATAACGGTATTATGACGTCATGGATGCCAAGGTGCCCTTCAAATACTTTCCCACGGTAAGTCTCACATCTCTGCAGCCTTCTGGCTCAGAAACCTGAGGGTTTCATGCCTTAGAAAAAGGACATGGCCGTGATCTCCATCAAAAGTATTCAGTATTGCTACCTCAGTTCAAAACCCCATTCAAATGTGGAACACTTCCTTTAATTTCTGTTAAAGTGCAATCACTGTACAGGCAATTTGGCGCGCTCGGATTAAATACTCAATCAAATGCTTTGGTGTTATCGATATGTCTAAAATGTGATTAATGCATGGTATAAGCATAGGATAAACGCGTTTTATTACACAAAATCGTTTATGATACGCTAAAAAATTGAAAATGACTGGCGTGTTTCAAGACAGCGCAGGCTGACACCATAATGCTGTTGCAGCATGTCAGAAATAGGGCATGTAGTTACACGGTCATTTTTATACTAACGTTCCCATTTAAACTCCTGTCGGCGGAGTAGGTAACAGGAGAGCTCGCGCAGCTTAAAGACTAAACCTCGGATCAATACTGAACATTCCTGGCTTTCTTCTCTGTTCTCGGCTGTGTCTTTCCAAAACTTAATCTGGGCCCGCATAGCTGGACCTCTGGTTTAATCGGCGGGCGCTACATGGGTGGACGTCCACTCACCAGGTCACCGGCCCCGACCGCTGGCCGCTCACGCAAACCTCAGCGCGTCGATTGTGAATACTGCCCGTTGTTATGTACACGGTCAGCGCTCTCCGGCGCGTGGGTGTACTTCTCCTCACGGATCCGCAAACCTTGCTAGCTGACCAAGTACTATAAAGCAAGCAACAGACGGGGGAGGAAAAGGGAATGCAGGTCGTCATTAGCATTTCGATTTCAAGCGCGGTTTCATCATCGGGATCACGTGAAAAGCGAAGAGATTGACATTTTCATATTCATTCTGCTCATGGACAGAACTGAATCAGCACGTATGCACTACGAGAGCTTTTATGTTATGGGAAATTTATGCATGCACTATCAATTGATACAAATCACTACCCGCACATTCTCTCGAGGTCTTGGATCCAACCTTTGGTCCCTGAGAACCATGGACCGGAACCAGCGACAGACTGTAATGATGTACTCAAGGATAAGGATGCTTGAGCGTCAAAGGGGAGCGCAAAATTTATCTGCGAGCCACTTTCTCGGTGCAGCAGCATGGAGTGAGCTGGCAGTGTTTAAGCCTGTGCAGCCCCTTTGGCAGATAAAGCTCCCTGGGTTGTAATGCAGCTGGCTACGAGTGTTTTGCTTAGACGGCTATTTCACCTCAGCCCAAGTCTCGGCAGGAAAGACCACCAAAGGTAAGCTCCGTAAGCAGGTCATCTGTTATCAAACAGCAATGCACATTCTGACAATGGGCTCATCCAGCATTGTGCCAACTGTTTTGTTGGAGCTGCCTATAGCCGCTGGCCCCGGTTCATCGCGTTTGTTATCTAAAGGGGGTTATCCCACCTTTTCTGTACTTTCCACCTGTTGCTAGATCAGAGGCGTGCGATTTAATCTGTGATGGCAGTTTTTCAAAGTCAAGAATAACTCAGAATTTCGCTTTGAAATAGCCGCTCCCGCGGCAGAAATCTCATTTGACTCCGTGCTCACCACTCTGAAAGTAATGCATTTCATTTTCTTTGCTTTTCCAACGAGTATGTTCCGTAATGTGTGTGTGTTCTGTAATGCACACTAATGTGTACAAAATGTTTGTATGATAAATACCGCGAAAGCACGAAAAGCTGTCACGACAAAACTATTTGCGGACATGAAGCTATTACATCGCGAATTAAGCGAAACGTTGTACTATGGCTTTCGATTGTCCCCTTTTGTATGGCGTTTACCACAGTGGCTGTTCACGAGGCGGACCTTGGCTTTGGGAATGAGGAGCGTCAAATGATCCATAGCACTGGCTCAAACTCCAACCAACCACATTTTCGGAACAGGCCCCTGCAGTCCGCTGGACCATTCTCAAGCGTTCTTTTATCCGCACCAGCACAGGTCCGCACGGAGCTCGTCATGATGGTGGTCGCGACTGCAGGGATGAAGCGTAGCACTGTGACAAAGCTTACAAAGTGTTGACAGCGGCAGTTGGATTGGAAAATATTAAACTAGATAAGCCTAATGTGTCTTAATGGTGCTGCAGTGGCAGGACTCAATGCTATTATTGGACCAACTGGTCCTGAGGTTTCATTGGTGGAAGTTTTTTAAAATATGCTCCAAAGGCAGGATACCATTTAAATGCAGCCCACAATACATTGTACACTACTACCATCCGTTGCGCAGCCAAGAGTTGACAGCGTGGCGAGCCAGGAATTTCATCAATTTCAATTGGCCCTAATAGCAATGCAGGTAACAATTTGACGACGGCACATGTGCCCGCAGGCTACCATTAAATAAGACAGTGCCTGCAGGGGCCCGTTACAAAACGATGGAAGTTCCTGCTGTGCCACGTGACAGCAATCCGCCCACAACGCACTGCAAATACGACCATTGAGGATTTATGGGTTCTGGCGAGGGGAGGGTGAATAAGTGGCTCAGTGGTACAGACGGCTGCGCAGCTGTTGTCTGCGCCACCGAGCGGCTGCAGCTGTTGTCTGTGCCACCGAGCGACTGCAGCTGTTGTCTGTACCACCGAGCGACTGCAGCTGTTATCTGCGCCACCGACCGGCCGCA